TGAATAATAATCAAAATATTACATCCATCAGAAAATAAACAGAAGAGACAAAATAGGAGATGTATTATTTGACGCGGGTTAAGTTGCAGCATCTAGCAATCTAGTAAATATTAAATAATGATAATTAGCTATATATATATTATTGCACATTTGATCAATTGGTTGGCAATTGGTGCATACGAAAGATACAAAATAATTATGTTGCACAGTTTAGCGTAGAAAGTGCGGGCTGAATGAGAATCCTGACGATTCGAAGCGAGGCTTCTTGCGTCATATGCAAACCATCCCAGAATATGTAATTGTTTGGATTCGAGCAAACAGGCACACCCCGACTCCCACAAAACCTTCTGCTATTGTAGTTGTATTTTCCTCCAATTCCACAACAAGCTTGCAGTGTTGTGTTTCCAAACGGGCCTGTAATAACATAACTAATAATAATCGTTAGCTTACAAGAAATATATTGAAACAATAATTAATTAAGAGTGAAAATGAATTTAGAAAATATATATAATAATAAAAAACAATTACTTGCCTGCTAATGTCTCGGTAATAATTTGTCGCATCCCTTGGTCCATGGGGCCATACATTATGCTAACGTCTGGGAACTCTCTGCTCAGATTTCTCATAGCTGCTTGGAGATTGTCGTTTTTATATGCGATTAGATCATTTACGCTTTTAAGACAACCCATATTATCGTAAGCGTCGGGATGATTGCTACGCAGTGCAGTTAAGATATATGGAAAGCAACCAATTAGAGCATTTCCAGGAATTATTATATGCCTCGCACCCATGTTGATCAGCTCCTGCATGATGCATCAATATATATTCAGTTAAATGGTTAGTGTTGAAAAGGTTTTGTTTATACATATAATTAGCTAATTGATTGGATATATATAGTAGTACTTACTCTTGTTGCACTTATTTGAGCTTCTGTTATGTAAGGCACATAAGTCCGTACTTGTCTAATTGATTTGCCCTGAATCAGTGAGTAGCCGACGTCATTGGCTTCAATATCCCCCAGCAGTATTAGAGAATTTCCCAATCTATTTGCACAGTCTGATCATATATATAGAAATAAATTAATGAATTATATTATATTTTAGAAGGTCGATCGATTAGCACACACACACACACTAGCTAGTACATATATATTTGCACTAATATATATAATTAATTACCTGTTGGCGATGTGCAAACGGATTTTAGGTGTGCTTTAAACCAACTTAGTTGAATGCTAAGAGGAACCGCATACGGTGGAATTTTGACGCCTCTGGATTTGAAAAACGTGTGGTCGAGAACTGGACTTCTTGCTACTGAGAATATGACTCCATTGCTAGAGCTAGCATTGCTCGACAAAGAGGGAGTTATATGTGGAAATCCAAACTCAGCAGCTGCATAATCAAAATCAATAAGACCATCACCCCAGCGACCAGTAGGCCAACCGGGAAAGGTTCGACCATAAGGCGAACGTGCAGCCGGAAGTGAAGGCCCCCATGGGAGAACCAGAATGGAGTTGCCCACGTCAGTTACTCCATCTCCAAAATGGTACAAATACTCAAACGGACATCTAGTATTTTGGGATGAAGTTGCGCATACAAAAATCATCACAAAAGCACAACTTACTTTGATAAAATACGAATAATAAGAAATATCCATAATTATTTGATCAATAATAATATGATGTACAACTCTAGCTTCTAGTAGTTGTTCTTCTTAACGTGTTGTATTGGCTTATAACTAATTTAATTTGTGCATTCCCACAATTCCATTCTTTGCATTTATATAGGCCAAGGATTAGTGAGTACAATAGTATATTTGAACAAGTATATGTATAAGGCCAGGTCCTTACGTGGTATATATCCAATTGCCATTATTTTGACCTTTTCCATCTTCAAAAACCGGCGGGTTATCTATTTTCCTATGGAAAGAAACACTCCACACGTAGACGCATGGCAAAACTGGGCATACGAGTATATGTAAGATGCAATATCTGGTAATTAACCTGAATTAATCAAGGTAATTATTATTCTGTTTAAATTCAAGAGTTATTCAATTGTCTTTTTATAATTGCAGAACCACTCCATCCAGTAATTACTGGAGCTGATATATTGTATTATGGTAATGGAATTATTTTGATCTGTTCTATTTTCACAAAATTAAAATATCCTAAGATATTCAAAATTAAAACGACCAGATATTTCTTGCGCCTTTGACCACGGTGTATATGCGCGTTTCAGAGTCAACGGAATGGAATCTTTGATTGGTTAAATTATAATATTTCTAAATCTTTAATTAAAGAAAATCGTTATTATGTAGTTCGAGGTCAACTAGAGGGTGGTTGTACTTCTGCAATAGTATAACAATTCAAGAAATTTCATATTTTAGGATGGAGATGTGTTGTAGTAATTTATTTATTTAATTTTTTTTTTTTTTTTTTTTTTTTTTTTTTTNTTTTTATTTTTTTTTTTGTCACTGAAAGTATACAACGACGAAGATTTTCGTTATATTATTTATCACCGTAACCACGTTAGAAAATATACATATGACATTACATAATTTATCATTAAAAATTTAAAAATTAACTTCCACTGAGGTTAACCTCGTCACCTTATAATAAGAATTTCATCATTGAAATTCTTAGTGATCGTTAAGGGTGTGATTGTTTATCAATCCAATTAAAAAAAAATCAATCCAAATTTAAATTTAACTCAACCGCACTATCTCCATTATTACCAATATAATTAAATATACCAACAATCATTCAACCAATCATTCTTATACATCGCATCAACTTTAATTCACTATTCATCCACTCACATAATTTTAGCTAGCTATCACTTACAATCATTTTTCTCCTACTTTTACATCATAACAACTTTAATTATTTTATTTTAAATATTATTTTAATATATCCACTAACAACTAACCATACCACCTTTTTCAAAATTAACTATGGCTAAAAAAAAATTCAATTAAAAACTAGTTGAATTCATAAACAATCACCCCCTAAAAGTTCGTATTTAGATGATGAAATAATATTTTGTCATATAAATACTAACTTATAGTGACGAATTTATTAATTTTACAATCGAGATTTTGTTATTTAAATATTTAAATTGCCACAAAAAATAATATTTTAAATGATGAATTCATATTTGTTATTTAAAATTTTTAAAGAACAAAAAAAATTACTAAATTATTATTTTTTCTAAATAGTTTTATTCAATACGATCCTCCACATAGACAAAATAATTATATGTACAATAAAAAATAAAAAATATATTTATTTTTTGTTGGAGTTGGAAAAAATAAATAAAAAATAATATAAAATAATTTATAATAAATAACTAAGTAAATTAACAATATTATTTTAAATTCTAACAACTAATTTATATACATCATTAATATTATTTATATTATTTTTATTTAAAACAAATATGTGAATAATATGAAAAAAAAAAAAAATTTGGAAAGTGCAATTTTATGCAGATTATAGAGAAGATAACAAATAGGTTTATATTGAATAATTTAAAAATATTAAATATGTGTATATATATGGTAATCCGAACCTAAGTTATTTTGTATAAAAAATTAGTAATCGTTATTCAAGTCATATTACAAAGCATAATATTTTGTCATGTAAGATTACGAAGCGTGCGAAACTAATATTTAGGCTCAACGCAAATTATATATTAGCGGGATTAATTCCGTCAACAATGAGACTTGACAACACGCTTCCAGTATAGAAAGCTTATAAGGTAACAAAACAAGCTATAGCTTATTTGGCTACTAAAACATTGTCAACCTAGTTTACAATTTGGTTGACAACACAAGTAAAAAATATCTACAAAAAAAAAAAAAAAAAAAATACACAAATAGATGTTTCCACTCAACCTAGTTGTACACTAATGTTAATATATTTTTCACCACAAAGGACACCGGAGAATGCTCTCTATTCCTCAAACGATCCCTTCAAATCCCCATAAAATTTCATGCGATTTTACAGCCTTTCACGCTATTCTTTACCTGCGTTTGGATTTCTCAGACCTTGTCATCACCAACTGCGTTTCAAGAGCATGACAACTGAAGAAATTAATGAAGCGAGGCTGAGAAGATCCCAGATAACTGCTGATGCGAAGGTCAACAAATTCCAGCAAGTTCTTCAATTAGACACCACCCGTAAGTAAATTATAAGCAAGCTTTCAAGAAATGAAAAAAAAAAAAAAAATGATGTACGGGTGAATATTCCGGTCCTTTTCTGATTATTTGTGTAATTGTTTCTGTAATAGAGGAATTGGGTGTGTTTGATGTTCAGATAACTGGGACAAGTGCTGGGAAGAAGGTTTGACGCCTTGGGATTTAGGGAGCCCCACCCCTGTTCTTGTGCACCTTCACAACACAGGATCCCTACCCAAAGGCAGGGTTCTTGTTCCTGGCTGCGGTAGTGTAAGTTTTGTACATTCAGTTTTTCTGTGCTGTGCCTTTGATTTTGAGGCCCTTGTTTCTGTACGTTCTATAACAACAATTTAAAGAGTGTTTAGGTATACGAAGACTGGAAATTTGAAAATTATTCACAAAAATAAGTTGTGGAAGAGTTTGGCTAAAACTACTGTTTTATCTCGGTAAAATTTTCTCAGAGTCTTTTTGTATATTGCTTAGATTTGTTAAGATTTGGAAAAGATTCTTTACAATGTGGCTCTTGGGTTTATTTATCGACCATCTTTGAGCACTCTTAATGCTACAGTAATTATACGCTTTTTTTACACTTAGGCTATGCTTGGTAAAACTAGCTGATAGTTGCTACCTTATTAGTAATTTTCTAGCTTATAGCTTATGACTTATAGCTGAAAATAAGCTATGATAAAAGTGTTTGGTAAAATTAGCTGATAAGCTAGCTGGAATAAAAAATTCAACTAGCTTATTTGAAAAGCTACCTAAAGAAGCTTATCATATAAGCTCGAGCTTTTTAAAAAAGCTCGTCCTACCAAACGAGACTTATTTAAATACAGGGAGCTTATAAGCTAACCAAATAAGCTATAAACTAGCTTATTTGTCTACCAAACATAGCCTTAGTCTCCCCTCCTGTTAGCTTTAGGTCGGCATTGTTGACTTAGACTCACTTTTAGTTAGGCCGAAAATCATGGAAAATGACAGGCGTAATTATCTATCAACTATTTGTTGGTTAATTCTCTGATCATCCTTTAAGTGAGGTACATGTGTCACTCTTTTGTTGGTGGTTTCAGCTCAGTAGAAACAGCCCTGAGGCAAGCTCCAAAAAATAGGTGTCCTTGGAGCTTATTGTTTATGGTAGAATTGTTTCATTGATAAAAATGAATAACCTGCAGGGCATATTCTAAAAATGAAATAACAAAATAAAATTTGTTATGTAAGAAAACTGCAATGTTGTTCTCCAAGATGAACGCATTAGACAAAAACTAATAGAAAATTTTGTTTTAGTGAAACTCAGCGTAAACAGTAACCATCACAAGCTTTCAACACAATATATCATTATTTTAATAAATTAACAATGCAATAGCATACTTTGGCGAAAAGAGAAGTTGGTATTGAGTTTAGATGATGAATTGTCTAGTTTACTTTTTAAATGTAAGAAGATATCAATAATTTAATCTTGTGAGTTTGATTCAATGAGAAAGTGTTTTATATTTGAATTATTGTCATAATTATATATTCTTCGGCCACAAATTTTCATATACATTACAAAAAATTAAGAAAAAAGGCCCTAGGAATATTTAGGCTCAAAGCAACCGCATCATTAGATTCCTTCGTGTACAAGCCTGCAGTTCTTTGCCTTGTACACACACAAAAACATATGAAATTTGCATTACAAAGATTTTATATGCGTGTCTATGTGTTTACATGTTGGTTATATGTTCTTTTTAGATCATCTTTTTAGATGGGGGAATGCAAATGATGTTGAAAAATGGCTAAAAAGATTATTAGGAAAAATGGGCTGAAAAAGATGTTTAGGAAAGAGCAATGGCTGTTTCGATCTATTTGCACTTTTCTTTTAACGTACTGATTTACTTTGTTAGACTTATTACAAGCCCCATTATGTGCTGTAGAGAAAATTCCAAGTTTATTCTCCTTGATAGACATTTCATCTTTTGGCTAATTCAGATATCTGAAATATAACAATAGAACAATTTGAGGAAGAAAAGAACTTTCTTATTGGCAAAATTCACATGTATAAATATGTAAAACACAATGTAATCTGTTAGCCCCATTAAAAAATCCAGATAATGAAATCAACTGCATGTTTACCAGGCATATGCTAAGGCATAAATGTAGCATATAAAAGAACTCAACAAAGGAAAACAGAAAAATGAAGCCATTGGAGGGAATCTCTTCAAACTTCAAAGATCCTTGTTCTCGTGTACTAGTTCGTATGTTGAACTTCTTGTGTTGCTTTTATTGTTCGATGGTTCTTTTAAATGCTCTTTGCATACTTAGCTGGCATTGATGCTGTGCTGAAAATAACTTTTCTGAGGAGAACAATGTTTATTTTGACTTGTTCCATAGACTCGTGCTATATGCTGCAGGGCCATGATGTGGTTGCAATTGCATGTGCCGAGCGTCATGTGGTTGGCATAGACATATCAGACAATGCTATCAAGAAAGCAGCTGAAGTAAGAGTTTTTTTTGTCCATTTTCATTAACAAACCGGAATCTTCAATTTGGAATTTACAATCTTGACTTAATACAATTAGATCACTTTTATTAACC